GGGGATTAATTACTATGCTTACTATGGGGGAATATTACTATACTTACTATGGATGACACATACACATCATTCATCTACTCTTGGTCCGGCCCCCGGGTCCAATATATGAACCCATTGCGGCCCTCAAGTCAAAAGGTTTGCCCACCCCTGATCCAGGACATTGTACAGAGTGGTGGTGGGTTCCTGGGGCTCTGAATTCCAGCACCGGGCACTGCCAGAGCCTGTGTCATGGGAAGGTGGAGTGAAGATGTAAAGCACTGACCCCTGACTACTTTTTTAGTTGATAATGCACCAACAGACCTCCTCTAAAAACAAGTGCCCACCAAGGGGTGAAGGATTGCCATCCTTCATTCCACTTGGTATCTGTTATTTGACCAGTGAGATGGTAAGAAGGTGACAATTGCCTTCCTTACCTCAGTGCCCCCCTCCCTACCTCAGTGTCCCGCTGAGCCTGACAAACTTTTCTTTCCTCAGAACCCTGCTCCCTGCCAACCCTATCAAAGACCCAGATTCCTTCAGCTACTCTACCCCCCTAAAAGCCCTTGAACTCCACTACCCTCTCAGGGACCCCAAAGTCTCTCGTCCTCAGTAACCCCTGAGAGACCCAGCTCTGCTACTTCCCTTAGACCCCTCAGTATTTCCCTCCTTCTGACACCAATGATGGAACATATTCCAAAGCTCACCTTACCACCTGCCCCCTTGACCCTGTCCCCACACAACTCCTATGATCACCCTCCTCCTCCATCCTACGCTCCCTCACTCACATCTTTATCTCTCCCTCTCTACTGGCAAATTCCCCTCCCCTCTGAAGCACGCACACATCACTCCCATACTTAAAAAAACCCTCCCTGGATCCCACCGACCTGAACAACCTTAGACCCATCTCCCTGCTGCTGCCATTTACATCCAAACTCCTCGAGCACTTAGTCTATAATCGCCTGAGTTCCCACCTCACCGACAACAACCTCCTCGATCCCCTACAGTCTGGCTTCCGTCCCCTACACTCCACCGAAACCGCCCTACTCAAACTCACCAATGACCTGCTAAATGCCAAAGCTAATGGCCACTACTCAGTGCTACTACTCCTCGACCTCTCCGCGGCTTTTGACACGGTAGACCACCCCCTCCTCTTCAAAAAACTATACTCCCTTGGTCTCAGGGACTCCGCTCTCTTCTGGCTCTCTTCCTATCTATCACAGCGCTCCTTCAGTGTTACCTATAATGCTACCACCTCCCCCTCACTCCCCCTCTCTGTTGGGGTCTCTCAAGGCTCTGTCCTCGGGCCCTTTCTCTTCTCCATCTACACCTCCTTCCTTGGCCAACTGATACACTCTCCCATGGCTTCAACTACCATCTCTATGCCGATGACATGCAAATCTATCTCTCTACCCCCGCCTCACCCCTTCAGTCTCCGCCCAAATCACTAGCCTTCTGAATGACATATCATATTAGATGTCACTCCACTTCCTCAAACTAAACCTTGCTAAAATTGAGCTCCTAGTTTTCCCTTCAGCCCGTGCCCCTTCTGACCTCTCCATCATGACCAACAAAGCCACCATCAGCCCCACCCACAAGCCAGAGTACTAGGTGTCATTCTAGACTCCAATCTGTCCTTCCAGCCCCAGGTCCAATCGCTGACAAATTCATGTAGACTTCACCTCCGCAACATCTCCAAAATATATCCGTTCCTAACCTCGGAAACCACTAAGCAACTCAATCACTCCCTATACTAGTGCCGCTTTGTATAGTGTCCCCAATACTCAGTGTTAGCCGGATCGGCCCGGTCACTGCCAGCACTAGTGTTCAGCCCCTCCACTGTTCTTCACAGAAGATTTGTACCAATTGTGGGCCAAGGCAATTTATACACCACAATACATGGCCGCCACCCCAAATTCAGCTCTTGTCACACAATTCACATGGAACTCTATCACCGTTTATGAAATTAAAACTTTTTAGGCCGAACCCTCAACATGGACATTACAGAAAAGAATGAATTGCAGTCATATTGGTCCGCAGACCCGATTCATCGTATGTCCGTGTTCTCTGCTGGTACATATATGTCCAACATGGACCAGCAATGTACTGGAACGTCGCTGGACTTGGAGTGGTTATACCGGGAGGATGCTTGCAGCTACAGGCATCATTCTAGTGCTGGTTTATTAGCTGGTGGTCGGCTTTCATGTAAAAGTAATCCTAGTGGCCAATTAGCTGCAGAATTGTTTTTACGAGCAGCGAGATGGGACATCATTTTACATGATTTCCTATAGCAGCAAAATCTGATGATGAATGAAGTGAAAGTGGAAGCAGTGTGTGCAAAGTGGAAGCAGTGGATGTGCAGAGACCATAGGATTTGGAGCCCCCCGAGCTCTTATCTCTGAATGTCTCCACATATTTGTAGTGTATTTGTGATGATTTCTGTGCACACACAATAGGACAGCGCTGTGACACATAATGCTCTTCTAGATGACAGGGAATCCTTCCCTTTGTTACAGCAGCAGTCCGCTAGAAGGTTTTTGTAGGTTTGGAGTTGTTACACATAGCGCGGGTTTTATCCATTTATAGTGATGACATCATTGCCCAAATCTGGGGGTCACCAGCCATTTCCACCCTTTACTCCCAGCTGGGGGGCTTTGTATCCATATAGCAGATGTTCTACAGGACTAAATCTGCAATCAATGTTACTGCAAAATCAAAGGGGCCAAAACCCCTCCCCCGAGGAGTCATATATTTCTGTCCCCCTTGGTGGGAGTGGAGGTGACCCCTCTATAAGGATCTACAGTCCATACACACCCAGCACAAGGCCGGGGTCACACTACCAGACGCTTCTCGGGGCTGCAGTTCCTCTGAGCTCCACAAGGTGGGGATCTCACTTCTACCCAGACAGGAAGTCTCTATGGAAGACAGACAGAAGTGATGTCAGGTACAGACAGACAGGAAATGATGTCAGGTACAGACAGGAAGTCTGTATGGAAGACAGGAAGTGATGTCAGGAACAGGCAGGAGGTTCCATGTGGTACAAGGCGACATTCCTGGATCTGGCAGCAGAGGAGGTAATACGTAGATTAACCCCTTCAGGGGGAGGAGTTGATGATAATATATCTTTGCTCCCAAAGCTGGCCTACATGGTTCAGTTTTATCGTTCAGCCAGCGGGATGACCATAAAAACTGAAGTGATTCCCCCATCCACACATTGGGGGGGGATCCTCCCCCTGCACTCTTGTATTCTGACAATGGGGGGACTCCTCCGCTCTCAGAATACACAGATCAGCACTGAAGCTATTGGCTGCAGCCGCTGGGGGAGGAGTGGCTTTTATCCGGCAGTGGCCACACATGGATGGAAATGTGAGCGATCCCTGCTGAACCAGCTGAATTTCCATGGATCTATGGTCACCTTCAGTGACTTCCTCCCCTCCCCCTCATCTCCTTCATGATGGAAGTCATGCTGAGATCATCTCCCATTGGCTGAGCAATATTCTCATTTGTCTCTCAGCTCCTTCTTGCTATTCCTCGTCCTGCCTGTTGTTTCCTTGGATTGATTTTCTGTGTAGTGACCCCGGCTTGGTCTCTTGGATGCGCTCGTCTGTTGCTTGCCCTGACCTTTCTCCTGATTCCTGGATCTCCTCCTCATCTCTCCTCCATATCCTCTTACACAGCTTTTCTCCACACCTGCAGTGACCCTGGGGGGAGGAAACTTGGCACCAGCACGCCGCCAAATCCATCCCCCCATTAGGGGCTCTGGAGACAATTGTCTGCTATTTACACTCCGTTCCTCCGCACGTCACCTGATCACATGACAGCTTACTTCCACAGATTCCGGACAGATTTCTAGATGGTAAAGGTCAAAGGTCACTCTTCAGTTTAGGAGAGGTAGGACACACCCAGGAACAAGGATTTGGTTTGCATGGGAGCCTCATATAGAGGACCCCTCAAATCTCCCCATCCAAATGTCCCCTATGACCATCCAGAGTCTATATGTCCTATGACATCACACACTGACCTCACAGCTCCTCCCCCCAATGTCCCTCATCCAGAGTCTATATGTCCTATGACATCACACTGACCTCACAGCTCCTCCTCCCCCAATGTCCCTCCATCCAGAGTCAGAGAATCCTATGACATCACACTGACCTCACAGCTCCTCCTCCCCCCAATGTCCCTCCATCCAGAGTCAGAGAATCCTATGACATCACACTGACCTCACACAGCTCCTCCTCCCAATGTCCCTCGATCAGGAGTCAGAGAATCCTATGACATCACACTGACCTCACAGCTCCTCCTCCCAATGTCCCTCCATCCAGAGTCAGAGAATCTATGACATCACACTGACCTCACAGCTCCTCCTCCCAATGTCCCTCCATCCAGAGTCAGAGAATCCTATGACATCACACTGACCTCACAGCTCCTCCTCCCAATGTCCCTCCATCCATAGTCAGAGAATCCTATGACATCACACTGACCTCACAGCTCCTCCTCCCAATGTCCCTCCATCCAGAGTCAGAGAATCCTATGACATCACACTGACCTCACAGCTCCTCCCCCCAATGTCCCTCCATCCATAGTCAGAGAATCCTATGACATCACACTGACCTCACAGCTCCTCCTCCCAATGTCCCTCCATCCAGAGTCAGAGAATACTATGACATCACACTGACCTCACAGCTCCTCCCCCAATGTCCCTTCATCTGATTTTTTGAAAGCTCTTAGGATGTGGGGCCCCTTGGTATCCCTCACATGTAAAGTGGGACTGTTGGTCCTGCGTTGTATGTAATGACATCAGAATGCTGCAACAAGCCTATACCCTGCGTAGTGTGGGGGGTCCTGTGGGGGGGAATTATACCTCAGCCTGAAGTGGGGCTTTAATAAAATGGAGACCTGAATGGAGAGGTGAGGAGGATTCTGGGAATATCATTTGATGTGACTCTTTGTGTTCAGATGTAGAGTTTTCCTCCTGTGAAGTCTGGAGATCATATGACATCACATTGCCTCCACCTCCCTCCCTGATAGAAGAGAGAAAGAAAGAAGAAGATTCTAGAAGTCACCAGAGAGATCACTGAGCTGCTGACAGGAGAGGTGAGCGGTGCCGGGAATTCTGGGACATTCTCCAGTAACAGACAAGGGATGTGTCTGGATGGTGACTGTATCATTGTGTGTGTCAGGTTCCTATAAGGTGTCAGGGTGTCACTGTCTATTTCTCCATGGAGGAGTGGGAGTATTTAGAAGGACACAAGGATCTCTACAAGGACGTCATGATGGACAATCAGCCGCCCCTCACATCACCGGGTAAGAGGAGACTTTATTGTAAAGGAGAGAGCAGTACGGAGGATCCACCTAGATCCCCCATCATCTGATAAACACATAGAAACAAATGGATTCAGTCAGTGTGTGTGTTTCCTACAGATGGATCCAGTCATGGGAACCCACCAGAGAGATGTCCCCGTCCTCTGTATTCCCGGATTCCACACAGGAAGGTCACACCATCCCTCACCATCATCAGGTAGATGATGACAATTATTGGTAGTTGTGATTTATACACAGCATGTTTGTTACAATGAATGTTTTATTATATCTTTCAGAGTGGAATCCTCGGGGATGATAATATTGATGTTAAAGAAGAGTATAAAGAGGAGGATGAGGAGTATGGAGTGATGGAGGAGTTTTCAGAAGGACACAAGGATATGATGGAGCCACCTAATACCAGGAACCCCCCAGAGAGATGTCCCCGTCCTCTGTATTCCCGGGATTCCACACAGGAAGGTCACACCATCCCTCACTATTACAAGGTTGGTGGGATGGAGAATCTAGAACATGAACTTGTAGGGGTGATTTTTTTGACCTTATATTTTTATGTGATGATTTTCTCTCTCTTTCATTTTCCTTGATTTAGAGTGGAGATCCAATCGATATAGAATTTGAGGTGAAAGCAGAAGAAGAAGAGGCGTATGTGAGGGATGATCAGCAGTCTATGGAGGAGGATGGAATAACGGGGACATTTATAGAGGAGGACACTCCTACAGAGATCAGCACAGGTGGGTCATGAACACTAAATCCATTCCTCCACCCATACTGCTCACTGATTGGTCCAGAGTAGGGCGGGGACTGGGTGATATCAGCCTGTAATCCCCTGGTCACTTTCCTGAGCTGTGTTCCCCGTCCTGTATTCCTGGATTTCTCTCGGATAATCTTCCTTCTCTGTGCTGCAGACACAATTTATGTCTCTAGACTGGATTTATGGAGGTTCTGGGGTTCAGCTGGCAGCAAAATGTTCATTTTCACCATAGACGTTACTAGACCTGGGCACCTGGGGTGTGTGCTTTGGGTCTTCTGCCCCATTCCCGGGTCTAGTAAGATCTCTGACAGAACATTTCTCCCAGGGCCTTGCTCTGTGGTCTGCTGGCTGTGCCGGGTGGAGGGATATGTCTGTAGTGTCTCAGACCCAAGTCACTGAGTGCAGTCTCAGGAGATGGGAGGGAGCGGTGTGGGATCTCTGCAACTTGTCTACAGGAAACATTTAATCTTCCACTGATTACTGAATACCAATATTATGAGTCCTGACCCTTTACACTGTATAATTTATATTGTACATTACATACTCCTGACCCCTGCACTATGCACTATACTCTATGTTGTACATTACATTCTCCTGATCCCTGCACTATATACTTTATGTTGTACATTACATTCTCCTTACCCCTGCACTATATACTCTTGTGCATTACATACTCCTGACCCCTGCACTATATACTCCATGTTGTACATTACATACTCCTGACCCCTGCACTATATACTCTATGTTGTACATTACATACTCCTGACCCCTGCACAATATAATCTATGTTGTACATTACATCCTCCTGACCCCTGCACTATATACTCTTGTACATTACATGACTCCTGACCCCCCTGCACTATATACTCTATGTTGTACATTACATTACTCCTGACCCCTGCACTATATACTCTATGTTGTACATTACATACTCCTGACCCCTGCACTATATACTCTGTGTTGTACATTACATTCTCCCCTGACCCTATATACTGTGTGTTGTACATTACATTCTCCTGACCCCTGCACTATATACTCTGTGTTGTACATTACATACTCCTGACCCCTGCACTATATACTCTGTGTTGTACATTACATACTCCTGACCCCTGCACTATATACTCTGTGTTGTACATTACATTCTCCTGACCCCTAGCACTATATACTCTGTTGTACATTACATTCTCCTGACCCTGCACTATATACTCTATTTTGTACATTACTTCTGAGAACATCTTAGTGACCTCTTCGGTAGTAGAAGGTCAGAAGAGGAAAGTGTTGAGGGAGGTTTAGTATAAGGTATGCTAAGTGGGATGGATGTCTGTGCAGTGGTGATGTCCCTACAATTGCATCAATCTTGTTTTTGAAATGATTTGCAATCTCATGAGCAGTGTGAGTGAGGTGCTGGGTGGGGGTCGATGTGCTGGTACTGGGTGGAGGCGGAGAAAGTAGAGAGTTAAAAGTAGAGAAGAGACGATGAGGGACTGGATGACAAGGTATTGATGAGAGTGACAAAGTAGGCTTGTTTGGCAGCATGGAGGGAGGAATTGTATGTGAAGAAAGCAGATTTATATCGGGTGAATGCTTGCTGGGATTTGGTTTTACGCCACAATCACTCCAGCACACGACTATGTTGCTTAAGATGTCTGGTGTGGTCAGTCTGCCACGGATGTAATGGTCAGGGCCTGATGCTTCGTGTTGTTAGAGGAGCAAGTGAGTCCAGTGTGGATGATAGTGAACTGTTGTAGACAGCAGTGGCCCAGGTCAGGGCAGGACAGGGGAGAGATTCTGTCATAGAGTTGGTCAGTTGCAGAGTGGAAAGGAGCCGGGTTCAAGTTGTGAAGGTTTCTGCGGGTAATTGTTTGCTGCTTGGAGGGATAGGTGTTTGAAGACGAGGAGACTGTGAAGGTGATGAGATTGTGATCAGAGAGAGGAAAAGGGGGTGTGTTTGTGAGGTTGTAGGGAGTGCAAAGATGGGAGAAAACAAGGTCTAATGTATTCCCATCAGAGTGAGTGGAGGACGGTATACATTGTGCTAATGCAAAAGATGAGGTTACAGTGGGGCAAAAAAGTATGTAGTCCCCACCAATTGTACAAGTTCTCCCACTTACAAAGATGAGAGAGGCCTGTAATTGGCATCATAGGTAGACCTCAACTATGAGAGACAAAATGAGAAAACAAATCCAGACAATCACATTGGCTGATTTGGAAAGAATTTATTTGCAAATTATGGTGGAAAATAAGTATTTGGTCACCTACAAACATCAAGATTTTTGGCTCTCACAGACCTGTACCTTCTTCTTTAAGAGGCTCCTCTGTCCTGCACTCATTACCTGTATCAAGGCACCTGTTTGAACTTGTTATCAGTATAAAAGACACCTGTCCACAACCTCAAACAGTCACACTCCAAACTCCACTATGGTGAAGACCAAAGAGCTGTCGAAGGACACCAGAAACAAAATTGTAGACCTGCACCAGGCTGGGAAGACTGAATCTGCAATAGGCAAGCAGCTTGGTGTGAACAAATCAACTGTGGGAGCAATAATTAGAAAATGGAAGACATACAAGACCACTGATAATCTCCCTCGATCTGGGGCTCCACGCAAGATCTCACCCCCCCGTGGGGTCAAAATGATCACAAGAACGATGAGCAAAAATCCCAGGACCACACGGGGGGGGGGGGGGGGGATCTAGTGATCCAGAGAGCTGGGGGACCAACGTAACAAAGGCTACCATCAGTAACACACTACACCGCCAGGGACTCAGATCCTGCAGTGCCAGACGTGTCCCCCTGCTTAAGCCAGTACATGTCTGGGCCCGTCTGAAGTTTGCTAGAGAGCATTTTGATGATCCAGGAGAGGATTGGGGGAATGTCATATGGTCAGATGAAACCAAAATAGAACTGTTTGGTAGAAACACAACTCGTCCTGTTTGGAGGAAAGAGAGAATGCTGAGTTGCATCCAAAGAACACCATACCTACTGTGAAGCATGGGGGTGTTAACATCATGCTTTGTGGCTGATTCTCCAGCAAAGGGACCAGGACGACTGATCCATGTACAGGACAGAATGAATGGGGCCATGTTTCATGAGATTTTGAGTGCAAACCTCCTTCCATCAGCAAGGGCATTGAAGATGAAACGTGCTGGGTCTTCCAACATGACAATGATCCCAAACATACGAAGATGTGGCTTCGTAAGAAGCATTTCAAGGTCCTGGAGTGGCCTAGCCCGTCTCCATATCTCAACCCCATAGAAAACCTTTGGAGGGAGTTGAAAGTCTGTGTTGCCCAGCGACAGCCCCAAAACATCACTGCTCTAAGGGAGATCTGCATGGAGGATGGGCCAACATACCAGCAACAACAGTGTGTGCCAACCTTGTGAAGACTTCCAGGAAACGTCTGACCTCTGTCATTGCCAACAAAGGATATAGAACAAAGTATTGAGATGAACTTTTCATATTGACCAAATACTTATTTTCCACCATAATTTGCAAATAAATTCTTTCCAAATCAGCCAATGTGATTGTCTGGATTTTTTTTCTCATTTTGTCTCTCATAGTTGAGGTCTCCCTATGATGCCAATTACAGGCCTCTCATCTTTGTAAGTGGGAGAACTTGTACAATTGGTGGTGACTAAATACTTTTTTGCCCCACTGTTTGTTGAAGAGTTGGGATGTAGCCGGGTTGTTGACATTAATAGGGATGGTAAAATCTCAGAGAATGATAGCGGGTAGTTCAGAGGAGAGAAAGTAGGGTAGCCAGGCGGAGAAATCATCAAGAAAGCGGGACACGGGTCCAGAGGCTGATAGATCACTGCAATCCTCAGAGAAATGGGAGAAAACAGCCGGATGCAGTGAGTCTGGGAGAAGAAGAGAATGATAGAGAGAGGGAGGGTTAGGGGGGACTTGAAAGATGCTCAGTGAGGATAGAAGCAAACCAACCCCACCACCTTTCTGACCACTGGGTCTGGGTGAGTGGGTCCAGAGGAGGCCTCCATAGGGAAGTGCTGCGGTGGAAGCAGAATCTGCTGCTTGGAGCCAGGTCTGTAATTGCTAGTAGGTTAAGGAGCGGGAGACGGGAGACAAAAAGGTATGAAGAAGGAGGAAGAGGGGGTAAGCGTATTACAGACAGAGCGGGCATTCCAGGGCACACATGAAAAGGGAGGGCTGGTTTTTGGGAGCACAGGGACTGATATTAAATTGAGGGGATTGCGGCTATTCCCAGAAGAAAGAGGATTTCTGGTGTGGGGGTGAGATACTGGAGGACCAGGGTTTGGGGAGATATCCCCAAAGGTTAGGAGAAGGAGGGTGCCTGGTGTGGGGGTGAGATACTGGAGGACCAGGGTTTGGGGAGATATCCCCAAAGGTTAGGAGAAGGAGGGTGCCTGGTGTGGGGGTGAGATATACTGGAGGACCAGGGTTTGGGGAG